AGCTGGTACAAATCACTCACAGGAAATAAGGGAGGGGGGAAGTGAGCCAAAAACCTTGCAAGCAGATACTGTTAGAAATGTTACAGTTTAAAGGGGAACTCTGCCATATCTGGGTGCTACCACATCACCACCCATCAATCCCACTTCCCCCTCTCCCCCAGTGCCATTGCTTCACACCCATACTGCTTTTGGAATCCATCACACCTGCAGCCCTACTCATAGCATTCAATCTGCCTGCATTACTCCTTTCAGTACCCACTGTGCCTACACCCACTTTTTCTCAGCCCCCTCCCCACCTGAACCCTCTCTATCACCAACCACCGCACCTGCCACCTCCTACTCACCACATCTACACCCCCTTCTCCCAGCAGCCATTGCACCTGCAGCCCCACTTCTTCCAGCACCCATTGTGTCTACATCCCCTCTTTATGAACCCATTGCACATGCAGCCTTTCTTCTCTCAGTATCCATTGTGTCAGCAGCCATCTTTTTGACGGGCACGGCTTCAGACCCCAGACCTTCTCACCAAACTCGTGACCGAAGGAGTAGCCAATCTAAAACCGTGATGTCACGTGCGTAACAATGCCACGCCCAGCTGCACCCTGCACAACGATTTTCCAGCTAATTGGACCACAGTCGATATACCTGCAGCCTGGGGGCGTTTGTTACTGTGTCAGGTTAATTACGCAATTAACCCTTCACACTGCCACCACCTCCTTTTTATACAGAGAAAGAGGAAACTCAACAATACACTAGGATGATTGGTTAACCGTCAGTATCCCGCTATCTCTACCGGTTATACAGAGGGTTAAATACTCATAGTAGCGCTCTTCAGCGGCAGGTAAGTTACATTCAGGAGCTATAGAAACAGTTCAACACTTTTAGAAAGTAAGATTTATTACCAAAAGGTTAAAAGGGTGCAGTAAAAATATTCACAGAAAGAAGATGTAACCAATATATATATAAATATACAAAGCACAACAGCACAGCAAACAGATCACAGAAGTTTAGGTAAATAAGTACTTGCCAAATAAATGCCTGGGGTTAAGCAGTTTCAAGTCTGATGAGCTAAAAAGGGATTTCTGGTCTCGCACTCGGTTTCGTTGTTGCAGCGAGATTCTCCTTTGCTTTCTGTCTGATAGATGTTATATCGAAGACGGTCCTCACTTCTCTGACTACACACAAAACATAACAGCTTCTTTTTCTACACAAAATCAACTGGTATCTTCACTACCTTATTTGGCAAGAGGATTGTTTGAACAGCTACACTGAACGCATTCCTGAGGGAGGGGGCGGAATGAGGGGATACAGAAGACTTCTTAATACAGTGAGAGCCTGTGCCTGGCTCTTGTATGCACGATACTACATGTCCCCCCCCCCTCAGGTGATGGCATAAGAGTTTAAGAGCAATACCAAAATGTAGAAGTTTGGGGTAAAATGGAGAACCGCACCTCTCCCTGTGGGCATGATTGTGACATCTTTCTTTCAGCTACCACTGTGCCTGTGCTCCTCCTTCTCTCACCACCCTTCGTACCTGCACCCTCCTTCTCTCACTACCATCTACGCATGCACCATGTTTCTCTCACCACCTACTATGCCTGCACTTTTTCTTCCACCATTGAACTTATGCCCTGTCTCTCACCGCTGCACTAATGCATGTTCACTCCCACTCTAACTAATGTGAGATTGGGTGGGTTTCTCTCCCACCAAGCCTGTGCATGCTTCCTCCCACTGTAGCACCATGTAGAAGCAGGGGGCAACCCTGCTTCTACCCTATTGCTGCTGGAATCCCATCCACACCCTTTACACCAAATGCTCCTGAACCTTTTCCTCCACCTGCTCTCATCACTGCAACCCCCAACCCCTCCAAAATGCTCGAACTACCCCAACCCTGCACATTCTGGAACTGGCACACTTTTGCTATTCTTTAATAAAGACAAAGTTTACTGCTTTATATCTCATAAAAACCTTACATAAATACACGGAACAATGAAAATGTACAGTACAAAGCCTATTTATAAAATATTTAAAGCTGAAGTCCGAGCAAAAACTTTATTGGGGCATTAGCTAGGTACCAACAGGGTGCCCCTAATGGTTATGTCACTCCTGATGCTCTGATCGCTGGAGCACAGCGATAATAGTAGTTCATTTGCTCTGCAGCCTCTCCATTCAAAAAACATCTTAGATTCTTTTCAATGAATACAAGATGTTCTGGGATTGGACAAGAGGGGATCATAATGTTCATACGCTTCTAGACCAATCACAGAATGCCCTGTGTGCCAGTTTCACTGCCAGAATTTTGGTGGTGACAGCATCAGATGCTGCTAGTAAATAACATATTTCAAGGAAAGAGCAGTGCAAAACAGTGGGGCACACATCATTGGGGGTACCTAGGATACCCAATCATTTGCAAGGAAAAAATATAAAAAAACTGTCTAAAGCCTCTTTTATTTGTCATTGTACTTGTATTCCCAAAACAAGATTAGTTACCATTAAAGCAGTATTAAAGCAGAAGTATAACTAAAGCTTTTTTGCTATACTTCTCCAGTGGATCACAGGAGTGCAGTTAGTTCTGCACTCCTGTGATCAGTTTCTCAGCTGACAGCGGGCTGAAACCCACTGTTGGCTGGTGTCACAGAGCCAGTACAAGCTCTTTAAAGATCTCGACTGGGACAGGCACCTGGCTCAGCCTCTCAGCTATCCACCAACAGCCTGGGCCAGCCCCTTCCACCCCCTCCACTGAGCGCTGGAGGGGGGGCAGAGCAGAGAGCCGGAGACTGAGAGTTCCAACTTTCTGCACAGAGCAGAGGCAGGGAACTGAGTGATCAGAGGGGTTGATTGCAGAGTTCTCTGTGCAGAGCCAGTGGAGGACACATGCAGCACTGGATCGATGCTGCATCCAAGAAGGTGAGTATAATGTTTTTTTTCTTATAAAGTCTATACTTCTCTTCTAAAAACTTGTTTACCGGACACTTTTACCCCTTTCCTGCCCAGGCCAATTTTCAGCTTTCAGAGCTGTTGCATTTTGAATGACAATTGCGTGGTTATGCGGCACTGTACCTGTATGAAATTTTTATCATTTGTTTTCACACAAATAGAGCTTTCTTTTGGTGGTATTTAATCGCCACTGGGTTTTTGAATTTTTTGTACTATAAACAAAAAAAGAGAAAAAAATTTGGAAAAAAAAGTTTTTCTTTGTTTCCATTATAAAAAAATTTAGCAAACAGGTAAATGTTCTCCTTCACTGATGTGCGTCGATGAGGCTGCACTGATAGGCAGCACTAATGGGCACTGATAGGCAGCACTGATGAGTACTGATAGGCTGCACTACATGGCGGCACTGGTGGGAATTGATAAGGAGGCACTTATGATGATGCACTGATATGCAGCACTGATGGGCTTTGATAGACGGCACTGATAGGTGGCACAGATGGGCCCTGATAGGTGGCACTGATGGGCACTGACTGGCAGCACTGACTGGCAACACTGATGGGTGGCACTGAAGGGAACTGATGGGTGGCAATGCTGGGCACTGCTGGGTTGCACTAATGGGCACTGATCGGTGGCACTGCTGGGCACTGATTGGCATTGATCAGTGGCACTGTGGGCACTGATGGATGACACTGTTGGGCACTGATGGGTGCCACTGCTGGGCACTTTTGGGGCTGCACTGATCAGGGCACTATTAATCATTCCAAGCTCTTTATGGGCAATCCATACACATGCCAATTGTTTTTTTGTAAGATTTAATATTTTTACTTTATTAGAATAAGCATGCATGAATTAACAGTAGTAGTAGTAAAAACCATGTTGGCCCTGAATCAGCGGGAATTCCTCCACTTTCCACCTGCAGCTATGCCTCCAGTGCCCAGTTTAATACACGCTTCAGCAGAATCACCAGAGGGATCATGTGACAGTTCACAATTCTAGTCACCTCTTTGAATGGAGACAAGATGGTACATGCATCCTGAATCAGGAGCCACTGAGGTGCTTGTGAAAAGAACCTCAAGATTCCTGGAGCCTGTCCTCACCCAGTACTTGTACAATTACTTGATGGCGTGCTGCTGCAGGGGCAGCTGCTGCAACATGACCAAGTCATGGGTATATTGGATATCACGCAGCTGTTGGGCAGTTTTGTGTTATCGTTACATTTTGGCCAGGGGAACGCTTGCTTGATAGGACTATGGTGGCTGCAAATTTTTCTGACCTACAACAAGATATCATGGAAGCCAGGGTAGGTAACCCAGAAATGCTACATCAATTGGTTCAGGGCTTGTGCCAGGTATTCAGGGCATGTGCCAGGCAAGATATGTGTATGAACTTTCTTTGTTAAAGGGCACCTAACAGATTGGTGTCATTATCACACATGACCTTACCTGGCACAAGATGATGTGTGGTCAGCCACCTCTTGGCTTGCCTCTGAAGGGCTGTTAGAATTTCTCGCCCAGTGTGATTGGAATCAATTCTTGATTGCTCAGAGGTGACTGGTGGTTCTGAGAAGACACCAGATGAGGACATCAACAAAGTGCAGGACATGAGTGCCATAGCCTGCTCAAATGGTGTGCATCCTTCCCAGCATCCAGCATTTTTACTCAGTGGGTCATAAAGGAGATGTAACTTCCCTCGCCCATGCTTGTTGAACCATGTGTCTGTCATGTGGACCATGCTGCCAACTGTGTAGTCCATTAACATAGGAATATTAGATTCCACAGGCTGGTGGAATGAGTACCTTCCACTGGGTTATAGCACAGGCACAAAGTTGCAGAAGGGGACAGACTCTACCAGCAAGAATGGGGGGCTGCTGTAAAGCTAGCATTTTTGCCTAGATAGCTGTGAGAGGTGTGGGTAACTGGGTAACTATTTTTGTCTTTCCCTCCAGCAGCTGTGCAAGAGATACCTGCCCCAACAAGGATGCTGCTGGAGCCAGTAGGGTAGGTTAGGAGTAATATGGCAAGATTTAAGCCTACAATTGTCCCTACTCTGAGTGACTTTCTTTCCAGCTTGATGTGCTGTAAGGTAAACCTCTCGAACCAGGGGCGGACTTAAAACTCATGGGGCCCCGGGCATTAGGGGATCATGGGGCCCCTGTGTCCTCGCCCCACACCCAAAAAACCTATGAAAAACCCAATGAAAGGTACCAGGGTCACCTCATGGGGCCCCCTACTGACCCCAGGCTCTCGGGTAGTGCCCGAGTGCTTGAATGGTCAGTCCGCCCCTGTCTCAAACCCCTTGTCAGATTTCCATCCTGAACGCTTGAGGCCATGGAAATTGCAGTGGATGGAGAATCTTGTGAAGTAGAGAGAGAAGTGTAAAGGGAGGAGTATATTGCAAGATCAATAGACAGCACTATGCCTTTTCCCCGTCATTCTGTAATTTTGCATTGGTCAATGAGGTTGCCCATCACATTAAAGGGCCAACAGGAAGCCTTGGGAGGGGGTATAGCCAATTACCTTGCAGGAAAGATTGAGATTTGAATATAGTCGCAGCTGCTCATTACTCTAAATCTGCTGATTGTTCTGACATTCAGCTTTCTCTAAAAGTGCCCTCTGCTTATGTATTCTCTGATCATATGCCTTGTTTGGATTCCTCAGTTTTACAACAGGTTTAGGTATGTGTATACCCATTTTGTAATGACCTTAAAGGGGAACTAAACCCACCGATTTAACTCTTTGCCAAAACAGTTATACCTTGAATGATAACTGTTATAGTAACAAGTGTGCTTATGTTTGCTTTCAACAGAACTGTCAAGCCACCAAATGGCTGATCACATGTGCAGCACTATGCCAAGTGCAGATCAAATACACGCTAAGATGGCAGCTTCCTTGGCTGTAAGGGATAGGAAAAGTTTAGTTACACTTTAAATGTACACTCACCAGCCACCTTATTAGGAATACCTTGCTACTAACGATTTGGACTCCCTTTTGCCTCCAGAACTGCCTTAATTCTTCGTGGCATATATTCAACAAGGTGTTGGAAACATTCCTCAGAGATTTTGATCCACATTGGCATGAGTTACCATTGCCTTTCTATCATCTCGGACTAGTCTGCCCATTCTCCTCTGACATCAACAAGGCATTTTCATCCAAACAACTGCCGCTCACTGGATATTTTCTCTTTTTTTGGACCATTCTCTGTAAACCCTTGAGATGGTTGTGTGTGCAAATTCAGTAGATCAGCAGTTTTTTAAATACTCAGACCAGTCTGTCTGGCAACAACAACCATGCCCCATTCAAAGTCACTTAAATTCCCTTTCTTCCCCATTATGATGTTCAGTTTGAACTTCAGCAAGTCATCTTCACCACGACTAGATGGCTAAATGCATTGAGTTTCTTCCATGTGATTGGCTGATTATCAATTTGTGCTACTAAGCAACAGGTGTACCTAATAAAGTGGTAGGTGAGTGTAAATGTAAAGTGAGAACAAATTACGCAACAATAGACTGCCCGAGTGTCCCTGCTCTGGCCAAGTGCCAGCACCTCCTATCAGGCAATGCTCTGATACTTTTTGGTAATTGAAGTAAACCTGCCACCTTCCACTCCCATATATTACTAATAGCATATCGCTATAATGGGATGCTACAACAGGGAATAAAAATGTTTGGGAGGCAAAAGGTACGATGCAGTGTCAAAGCTTTTCCCGATCAAAACAGGTCAGTGGCAGGATACTGAAATCTGCTGAACATATGAGGTGCCATTTTATACATGTTATTAGCCTTGTTTCATTGTTATCAGAAGCAGTTCAAAACCCAATCCAGACCCTTGGGTTTTTTTTCTCAGCATTTTAGCATTTTTTTTTTGTTTTACATTTTCTTTATACAGACATTTTTCAGACACGTGACGCTTTTGGTCCCTTTCCTCCTCTTCAATTCTCCAGCAGGGTGGTTGATTCTGAAGGCTGCAGAGGAGAGTGCCCACCTGCAGCATTATCCTATCCTCATGACTCCACCTCAGGGGGGGGCGTGTCTTTGATGTCCTGGGCTCACAGGTAGTGGGTTGAATGACACTGGGCAACATTCAAGACAATCAGCTAAGAATGGGAGTGATAGTGGACCACAGAGGCTTTTTTCTTTACTGTAGTTGGGCTGGGGAGTGGAAAGGGGGTGGTGGTCCAATAGTGCTATTAAAGAAAACAATTGTGGAATTGGGCTCTTTTTAATCTATCTGAGATGTATAATATGTATTAACTTGGCAGAAAATGTACATATTCCTGAAGAAATCCTTCTCAAATTTCCTTGATTGCTCTTGAACAAAAGTCTTAGATTAAAAACCTCCCCTTTAACATGTTCATGTGATCTCAGAAGCAGTAGAGGCAGCCTAGAGCAGCATTTTCCCTAGGAAAAGAACATATTTCAGCTCGGGACAAGCATGCACGAGTGCCCTTAGAAGCAACTGGCTTGCCATGGGGGGCACTTAAAAAAGAGGAGGAGCCAGGGGCTGCTCTGTGCAAAACCATTGCACAGAGCAGGTAAGTATAATTATATATATATATATATATATATATATATATTTTTTTTTTTTTTTAAATGTAACTGTTAATATCACTTTAACTTAAGGGCTTGTATACATCAGGCTTGTTGAGCTGCATTGATCTGAGTTGAATAATGCAGGCTCATCGGCCAATTTTCGCTCTGTTAGTGGGGCAATGGCACTGTTGGATTTTCATGGTTCCTCCCCATTTCGTTTATCGGGCATGCTGGAAATTTTTTAAATCATTGGTGTCACCATCGGATTACAGAACGAACAATGTTTTCAATTTTCGATCTAAAAATCATTCGGAATTCGACCCATGTATGACCTGCTTTAATATTTAAAAACAGTGCTTGCTGCAAGACATTTGCTCAGTGGATACAAAACTGGCACTTTCTTTACCGTCTACCTTTTCTTAGTGATCTCTTAAAGAATTATTCTACCCAAAACTGATGAGATACATCTCCCCCAAGAGACTACCAAGATCTTTGTAGCCCCTATTATAACAACCCCTTGCTGCAGCAGGAATAATTTTACTTAGTGGATAATTTTAAGAAATAATAGGCAGACAGAACAAGACCCCGTCTCTATGGCTTTAGCAAGTGGACAGATCTAGAAACTAGGCGATATCACCACCAGAAACCTAGAGAGAAATGTTTGCACAAGCAAAAGGTAGAAAAAAACTAAGTGCATATACCCAAGCAATTAAATATTTTGTGGAAAGAACCGTTAGGCCCCTTTCATACAGGCGTTCTGTTTTTTCATCAGTTCAGTCCCATTTTTTCCGAGAAAAAACAGATCAGTTCACATTTGTTTTTCATCAGTTTACATCCATTTTTCATCAGTTTACATCCGGTTTCCATCCGTTTACATCAGTTTTTCATCTGTTAACATCCGTTTACATCCATTTTTGTCCATTTACATCTGTTTTTTGACCATTTATATCCATTATTGTCCGTTTACATTCCTTTTTCGGCTGTTTTTTAACAAAATAAAAATAAGGGTTTCATTCCATAAAAAGAAAAAACAGATGTTAACGGATGTGGACATTAACGGACATAAAAACACACAATCATCCGCTAGTCCATAGAAATACATGTTGGTCCATTTTTCATCCATAAACGGACAGCTGAAAAACGGACATACGGAACACCTGTTTGAAAGGGGTCTTAAGTACATCTGGAGACAAGTTATTGCAGTGACCAATTTTAAGTGCATGTTTTATTTAAATTATTTTATTTGTTATGTTATGTAAAGCGAGATACGGAATCACTGTTCCTTACACACATGAGAATGTCTCCCAACCCATGTGCTTATTGCTATACGCAAAGCTTGCCTTACAACATGTGCCGATATATTCCTCAGCTAATCCCTTATATGCTTCATCTATTTTTATAGAGAGATATTTTTAGACACAAATGTTTAAGAATACATTTTTACTTCTCCTGCCTGACTCTTTCCATATTAAGGGACTCCCCCTTCAGTGCATGAGTTGGGGGCGGCTTATTGCCATGTAATTGTTCTAGTAGCGGTTTCCATGGCAACATGGCACAGACTGTATCTGCATGGTTTAGGCCAAATGCAAGTAGTCCATACCTCTGCCTCTCTGTTTACTAATTAGGAGCGCAGCAAGGAGGGGAAGGGTGAGGTGAAGGGGTCACATTGTAACCCTTTCATCGCCACTATTTATTTGAAAATAAAAGAATCTCTTTTTCACATTGGTCACATTTTCTGGAGCCAAAAGATACTGTATTTCCTGTTGTGCTTCAGAAGCGGATAATGTAACCATGCTCAAGCAATTTATAATCTCACATAAATAAATAAATAATTAAAATTATATATATATATATATATATATATATATATATATATATATATATATATATAAAACAAAAATGTAAAAAATTATTTTTACACCTGCTTGATCAGCTTTGGTTCAGTTTTAGTTTTACTTCAAATATACTAACAGTTACATTTTTTTCTTCCTAGTAGAACGGGGCTGAGAAGGAAAATGATTCAAGTTGAAAGTAGATCTGGTGCCTGCTATGATAGGTTTGGTGATCATACAAGGATCTATACGGCTAGATTTAAACTGCTGCAATCAGATTTTGATCTGATTTTCAGTGCGATTATGCAGTGCACCTTAAATGTGGTATGCATATTCTATGGGGCCCAAATCACACTGGAATCGCACCAAAGCAGTACAGGAACCTTTTCTAAAATCGCACCATGCTGAGTTGCGTTGATGTGAACAAGCACCATTAAAACAATGTGATTTCCATTGTCATGGGATTCTGAGTGACTCAAGTAGTATCTGAAATCGCACCAGTGTGAACAGAGCCTACTACTGTATAATGTTGCAGCCAGAGAGTACAAGACCACATAATTACTTTAAAAGCTGCCCTCTAGGCACATTTTTAAAACACAGCAGTCAATTTTACATCATTAAGCCAGGGTTCACATACATGCGGTGCAGTATATCGCATGTGAACCGCACCGCATTCCTGTGCACATCACATGCGATTTGTGTGCGGTGTGATCAGAGCCATGCATTTTGTATGGCTCAAATCGCACCGCACCCGCATCAAAAACGCGCAGGATCCTTTTTTGGGTCAGCACTAGAATCGGATCGTATATGTATTCACACATTCTGCACATCGCACCATGTTTTGCGGAGCGCTTTCGGGGTGTTGTTAACAGACACATCCACAGCGGTTCGC